TTTGCTGGAAAGAACAACAAGCACGTGAAACGGCGCAAGCGCGGCATTGCTTGCTGTGCTGGCTGTCTTCGTGCGACGCCCGAGGGTCGCGCTCGCTTCCGTGCCGCCGACACGTTTGTGCAGCGCGACGAGTTCGGCATCCGGCCTGAGACTCGCTGCGGCGTCTGCACTCTGCAGTACCTTTGGGAGGCGCACGACGGCTCCAGCGGCACGGAGGGTGCAGCGTCGGCGCAGTGCTTTCGCGCTTTGGCTCCTGGCTACCGAAAGTTCTCGTGGCAGAAGGGCGCCAAGAAGATGCCTCGCCGTGCGGACGGCTCCCTCGATGCGGCTAGTTGCTTTCTGCCGCATGCGCCGTCACATTATATCGCCTCAGCATCCTTCCAACGATGGGGAGCGCGCATCAACGAGCGGCGGCACATGGCGGATCCGTCAGCACCTAAGCTGCACTTGGATCTCTTTCGTCTGCACAGCCTGCGTCACGGCGCAGTCAAGAACCTGAAGGCGCTCGGCGTGACGGCCGACGAAGGCGCTCCATTTTTGTGCATGAGCCGCCACTTTTGGGACACCGTGTACGGCATGGAGGAGGCGGAAGAGGTTGGCGAGCACATTACACCCTTTGTGGCAGGATGTTCGCGGCGGGTACGCCAGCGGGTGGGATGAAATGTGTAGCACTTGGACATGCCTATGTACGTTCGGTACGTTTAGCATACTGGGAGAGAGAGACTGGGAGAAATGTCATATGTACGAACCACATTCGTGTACGCGTTTTCAACACGATGCGACGCGCGTGTTGTGTGCTCACACAAACACTTTGCCCATAGAGTCTCGCCTACTCTGCGGCACAGGCACGTGGTGAGCCGACAGCAGTACCACATGCAAGTGTTCGGCGAGCTGCGGAATGACTGTCCAGGACACATGTGAGGGCAGCAGGAGCCCACTTGCAGCAAATTCTACTGAACAGTTGGGGGCTGGCGACACCGTTAAGGAGCGCGAAACAAGCGGCATGCCGAGGTCCGAAGCAATGCGGGCGCCACGTCCCAAAGGCCAATTGCCAATTGGCGGGAGAGAGGAAGCCGGTCGTGTCGGCGTCATCGAGCGGCGTGAGCGATCAAGCCATTTCGTGTCTGAGCCGTGCGCTGACCCACTCCAATGTTGCGGCCGAGGCGCTCCTCGACCAAGTCGAGGGCGTGCCACGGCGTACATTCCACACTGGTCGTGAGTGCGATTGTCACGCCCACTATGGAGCGCCAGGGCCGCCGCTGGGTCGAGCATGGCCTCCCCAGAACCATAGCAATCCCATATAGCTAGCGTTCTTTGCGAAGCCGCTCGTCATCTGACATCTCGCCCTCGTGTCGTCCGCACCGCGCACCTAGGGTCCCTCCAGCTCCACCCACCCTCCTCCACTCGTGCCTTTTCGGTACTCCTATTACTCTCTCCGCCTCGCCCTGCGCCTTTTCGTATCGCGCGCCGTTTGCCCAAAAGTGCTCAAGTGCTCAAAAGTGTAACAAACTACAGCTGATAGCCGGTTTTCGACTCATAATCGCGAGCGGATGGTCGCGGGGCGGTTGCGAGGGGCTCAGCCTGGCTAGCCAGGTCCGCCTGGGCGCCTCCAGTCTTGCTTTTGCGGTGACCATTCTTCTTTTGGTTGGCAGAGGTGTTTTCGTGCGGTCTGTCAGTTGCTGCTGATAGCCGGTTTTCGACTCATAATCGCGAGCGGATGGTCGCGGGGCGGTTGCGAGGGGCTCAGCCTGGCTAGCCAGGTCCGCCTGGGCGCCTCCAGTCTTGCTTTTGCGGTGACCATTCTTCTTTTGGTTGGCAGAGGTGTTTGCGTGCGGTCTGTCAGTTGCCGCTGATAGCCGGTTTTCGCCTCATAATCGTGAGCGGGTGGTCGAGGGTCGGTTGCGAGGGGCTCAGCCTGGCTAGCCAGGTCCGCCTGGGCGCCTCCAGTCTTGCTTTTGCGGTGACCATTCTTCTTTTGGTTGGCAGAGGTGTTTTCGTGCGGTCTGTCAGTTGCTGCTGATAGCCGGTTTTCGACTCATAATCGCGAGCGGATGGTCGCGGGGCGGTTGCGAGGGGCTCAGCCTGGCTAGCCAGGTCCGCCTGGGCGCCTCCAGTCTTGCTTTTGCGGTGACCATTCTTCTTTTGGTTGGCAGAGGTGTTTTCGTGCGGTCTGTCAGTTGCTGCTGATAGCCGGTTTTCGACTCATAATCGCGAGCGGATGGTCGCGGGGCGGTTGCGAGGGGCTCAGCCTGGCTAGCCAGGTCCGCCTGGGCGCCTCCAGTCTTGCTTTTGCGGTGACCATTCTTCTTTTGGTTGGCAGAGGTGTTTGCGTGCGGTCTGTCAGTTGCCGCTGATAGGAGGCGGCGGTGGCGTATGCACGGGCGGTTGGCGAGGCGGCGGCGACGGCGGCAGGAGAGGCAGGGCCGTCGGCAGCGGCGGCGGGCGAGGCGTCCGAATCGGAGGAGGGCGAGCCAGGCGGCGCTGGCGGCGAGACTGCGGTCGCCGAGAGCAGCAGCGACGAGGAGGAGGAGGCTGCTTCTCCGCCCCTCCGCGCTCCAAGCTGCGCCCCTGCAAAATGATGTTTATGGAGGTTTAAAGTTTGCGGGGGGGGACAGCTTTGCGCGGTCGACTTCAATTTTCGGGGGTTTACGACGGTTTTGGGGATCCTGCCGACGCGCTACACCTACAGTGGTTAGCCCCACTGCACATAAATAAGATGGACACCTCAACGGGAGGGCCCTCGCAGCAGCCGGGGCCGACGCCTGCAGCCTTAGTCTTGGCCCGATCCGGCGGTATGCCACGGGTAGGCGCGTTGAGGCTTGCCGCCTCCTCGGCGCCAACGCGGCCTGTGCCGCAGCGTGCGATTGCTGCCAGACAAGAGGAGGAGCAGAGCCGCTTGGCGATAGGGCCAGGCAATCGCATTCGCCCCGTGGGCGTTGCGGACTCGAGCAACACCCGGGTCGAGGTTGCTGCGCCTCGTGGCGCAGTGATGCAGCATCGCACGCTCGTTGCGGGGGATGGAGCATCGGCGGCAGCCGGACTCCTGGCCCTGTTCACGCGCGCGCGAGACGTGCAGACAGGGTTGCCAGGTGAGACACACACCGCATCCCGCGCACGCGGAAGTTTTCTTTTTTCAGTACCTGTGTTAGTGCCCCAGTGCGCGCCAGTCCCGTGCCCAGTGTTGTGCGAGTGAGTACTTGGATGGAGCACTTGGAGTGCAGTTATCAACCTCACCGGGGAGCTAAGAAGCGCACCCAGTTGGCTTTTGTCGCCTTTTGTGGTGCTAGTCCGTGCCAGTCTGCTGTGAGAAGCAGGTATTTCTTTTTTACAGACTGCTGTAATGATTAGGCTGAACAAGCTTTTCCTCTCGCACCCCGTCTCTTTTCCTTTCCTTTTTTCTCTACAGCACCCTCTTTTTTCCTCTCTGTTTTCCCGGGGAAACCATCAAATTTTCCGGGCTCTGAGCCGAGTCTGAGGCTGGTTTGGGGCCCCTGCAGATCGTAGTTTATGGTGGTTTAAAGTTGCGCACAATGATGTTTATGGTGGTTTAAAGTTTGCGGGGGGGGGGGGGACAGCTTTCCACGGTTTTGTGGATCCTGCCGACGCGCTGCAGCCTGCTCAGCTCTACTGCAGCCTGCTCAGCTCTAGGCGACGCTCGGCTGCAACGGCGACGCTGCAGCGGCGGCGACGCTGCTGCGATGGGGTACTGGCAGCCCTTAGCTGCTGGACAGCACCTTGTGCAGTGGCAATGTCCACTGACTCATGGCACCAGCCTTGTGCCATGAGCGCTGTGGTCAGTTGCGCTTTGTGCGCCGGTGACGCTGCAGGGGCGACGCTGCTGCAGCGGCGACGCTGCTGCGGTGCTGCGCCTGCACAGTACCTTTGTGCACAGTGGCAATGACTCCCGGCACTTGATGTCCTCAAATGTCCACAGAGAGTATACTGGTTGTGCTCAGGTTGTGCTACATCAACAGGGTGCAACTGAGGCTGCAACTAAGGGATGAAACAGCTTTGCAACTGCTGCCCAAGTTTTGTTGATGGGCTGCAACTGCATCCTGCCACCTTGGACACCTCGACACCTTAGACGCAAAACCCCTTGACAACACTCGACACCCGCTCGACACGCTCGACACCCTCGACACCCTCGACACCCCTCGACACCCCTCGACACGGTCAAGCATGGTTTCAGCCTCGACAGGCCTCAACAGGCCTCGACAGGCCTCGACAGGCCTCGACAGGCCTCGACAGGCCTCGACACCTCTATCCCTCGACAGCAGCTCGACAGCAGCTCGACACCCTCGACACCGGGCCTCGACACCTCGACACCAGGGCTCAGTTCACTTTATGCCCCACCGTTGCATATCCGGATATGCAACGGTGGCATAAAGTGAATGATACACCGTCGCAGCGCTGTTGTGCGTTGCTTTTGGGTTGCTGTCAGGACGTGTCAGGCTGATCGTATGGCGGCGGCGGCGGCGGCTCGCCCTTCCCTCCGGCCGCAATTCCGACCCCCCGCCGCGCTCGCGGGAGGTGGCGCGTATATTACACGCCCTTTCTCCTCAACGGCTGTTCCGTGCTTGCTGTGCGCCCCTGCGTGGTGTAATTCAAGTTCTTGAGCACTTGAGCACTTGATAGGGTCGATTCCGCATGGTACGGGACCCCTCCGATCGTCTCTTAGATCACAACCCAAGGATGATATAAGGTTAAAAGCACGACGCGTTGCGCCTTGCCGATCCGCACCTCTAGGCTCTAAAGAAAGAAAGAAAACACAACTCAAGGGAGGGATGGGAGGACGCCTCTAGGCTCAGAAAGAAAGAAAGAAAAACACAACCCGGGGGAGGGATGGGAGGACGACACAGAAAGAAAGAAAGAAAGAAAACAGACACCCAAGGGAGGGATGGGAGGACGGCACAGAAAGGGTCTTGGGCTGCACTTGGAGCACTTGGAGTGCAGTCAGCAACCGCATTGGGTTTGTTTCTTTGGTTCGCGCCATCTCTGAAATGGCCGCTTGGAAGCTAGCCTCCACGGCCGACGCCGGGGTGGTCTCCCTCCTCCTGCGGCCAAACGACGGTCTGACCGTCGGGCGTGAGCACTGCGCTGGCGACTGCATGCAGATCTCCCGCAATCAGATCGCGTTCCGCAACGCGGGCGACGGCGAGGTGAGTGCGACTGTCATCGGGCAGGGGCGCGTGCGTGTCAACAGCAGGGGCGACAGCCGTGTGCTGGCCAAGGGCGAGAGCCTGGTCCTCGCCGACGGTGACGAGCTGCAGCTGTACACGCTCCAACCCGACCGCGTGTGGGGAGGCTGGAGGGTTTGCAGCCCCGGCAACGCGGCTGGAGGGCTTGCAGCGTCGGAGGTCCCGCCGGCTGCAGGCGGTGCCGGTCCGCCGCCGCCGCCGCGCGAGTCGGGGACGGATGCGGGTGGACAGTCTGCACAGCGCGCTGCGTGCACGTCCGATCGCGTCGATCCGCAGGCGGACGCCGCCGCCCCGGCGCGCCGCCAGACGCTCGAGCGGAGCCGCACTCTGCCGCCGAGTGCCGGCCCGCCGACACCCGCCGTGCTGCACCCGCCGCCGCCGACCGACCCGCCACCCCCCGCTGCCGGCCCGCCGCGGCCGGCTGCCGGCCCGTCTCCGCAGGCTGAGGCCGCCTCGCTGCACAGCCCACGGCCGCTGTCCGCCCCGCTGCTGTCCGCCCCTCTGCTGTCCGCCGGACCGTCACGTGTCGTGGCGGAGCAGCTGGCATGCGCGGCGAGCGAGACGGCGATGGGGCGGCAGAGCGCCGCGCACCGCTCGCAGCTCCAGGCCGAGCTGTCCGAGGCCCTCCTCGCCGCTACAGCTGCGGTGATGCAGCGCTGGGACGTGGAGCCGCGCGCCGCGCCGAGCGGGCAGGCGTGCCGCTTCCGAGAAGTCTCCCCTTCCGAGCGCCTCCCGCTGCGCCTCGCTCCACGCTCGTGCCGGACGCCCATCGGCGTCTCGCTCACACACCTTCTCCAAGCCGCCCTCCTGCTGCCGCCGCTGCTGCCCCACCGCTTTTGCCCAGCCGCCAGCCCCTCACCGACCCTCCCGCCGACCCTCCCGCCGACCCTCCCGCCGACCCTCCCGCCGACCCCCGCAGGAGGGAGGAGCAGAGGCACACGCTTGGTCCGGAGGCGGCGCGGGGAGGGGAGAGCGGGGTTGCGAGCGCGTCGGCGGCAGTCCGAGGCGGGAGCCCGCCTGTGCCCCCGCCTGTGCCCCCGCCCCGAGGCACGGAACCTTCTCTAAACCTTCCCTGAGCCTTCTCTGAGCCATCTCCTGAGCCATCTCCGGAGCCTTCCCTGAGCCTTCTCTGAGCCTTCCCCGGCAGGCGGACCGGCCGTGCCCCCGCCCCGAGCGAGGCTCCCCCTCTCGCCGCCAACGAGTCCGCAGAGTCGCCGACGCAGCGGCTGCTGTCGGCCTCACGCGCCGGGGCCAGGGCGGGTGGAGCGGGGGGTGGGGCGGGGGGTGGGGCGGGCGGGGCTGGGGGCGGGGCGGCGTTCGGCATGCTGGACGAGGTGTGCCGCCGCACCGAGGCTCTGTGCGCCTCGCTGCGCCGCGCCTCGCTGCCGGCCGAGGCGGTGGCGCGGCTGGAGGCGTCGCGCGCCGGAGCCGAGCGGCGGGGCGACGCAGGGAGGAGGTCCAATCATTGACTGCTGGCCTGATGGAGTAGGAGTCGCTCCTCGAGATGGAGCGCTGCATCGAGGGCGCGTCGCAGCGGCTGCAATCGCCTCCGCCGCCGCCGCTCGCCACCCCGCCCTCAAAGAGCCCTGCCGGAGACGGCGCCGCGCAGCGGGGGCAAGACGTCGGCGGCGGCGGCGGCGGCGGCGGCGGCGGCGGCCGAGAGGGAGAGGGCAGCGGCGATGGCGGCGGGGGCTTGCCGTATTGCTTGCGTCGCGGTCCACGTTCCAGCGGCGACAGGGGCGGGGAGGCCCCGTGCACCGAGGCCGGTTTCTCGACGGGCGCGTGCCGCGTGGTTCCCGGCTGCCGCGAGCGCGGCTGGGAGGGGGGCAGGCTCGTGTGGGGGGGAGGAGGGGTACAGGGGCGCACGCCCACGACACGTCCATGACACGTCCGTGCCATGTGCAGGCTCGTGGTGGCGGAGGCGGTGGGAAGAGAGCCGTGCGGCGGCGGTGCGCTCAGCGAGGTGGAGGCGCACTCGCTGCGGAGCGCCGTCGAGGATCTGTACCGGCGGCGGCTGCCCGGGCGGAGCATCCTGCTGCAGCTCGTTCGCGGAGAGCTGGCCCGTGTTTGCTTGCCTAGGCGGCGGCTGCCCGGGCTGAGCGTCATCCAGGAGTCGCAGGGCGGGGGGCGACACGACTTTCTCGTCGACCGGTGACTTAGGAGCCGAGACCGGCCGAGAGGAGCCGAGTCGAGCCGAGATTTCCGCCTCGAACGGTCTCACCCCACCGCCCATGGAGAGCCGCACGTCGGCTCACTGCCCGCCGCTCCGAACGGCGCCTCTTGACCGCTCCGCCCGCGTGAATAGGCTGATGCGCGCCCCGGGCGCGGTGACGTGTGTGCTGCAGTCGGGAGTCACGCAGCTGCGCGCCTACGCGGACGACGGCGACGAGGCGAACGTCGCCGGCGCCGTCACGCTGAGGGAGCAGCAGCGGGCAGTGAACCGAGGCGGAGCCGAGGAGAGGCGCGCGGAGAGGGCACGGGTCCCAGCGCGCAACCCTCGCCCACCCCCGGCCCCTGGCTCGCCCTCGCCCTCTCTCGCGTGCGTCTCGCCCTCCCCGAGCTCTCACACACACACGACACACCGAGGAACCGCGCCCCCTCACTCCGGCGGGGTCTCTGCTGCTGACACACGAAAGCGCCGCGCCGTGCAGGTACGCCGAGCTCCTCGCGTGCGCGGTCGAGAAGAGGCACGCGCGCCGCGGCATCGGCCGCCTGCTGGTGGCGTGGGCCAAGCTGCACGCGGCCGCCGAGGGGCTGCGCTTCCTCCTCGTCTCCGCCTCGACGGACGTCGTCGAGTACTGGCGCGGCCTCGGGTTCGACCACCCGCCCGCCCGGCTGCGGCAGGTTTGCCACGAGCTCAAGCTGGAGTTTGACGACTCGGAGGTGCTGCACCTGCAGCTGCCCTCGGCCGGCGGCGGGGCGCTCGAGGCGGAGCTGGGCGAGGCCATCGCGCGCCTGCGCGCACGTCCTGTGGGGGGGCAGAAGCGGAGCCGAGGCTCGTAAAAGAGCAGACGGTCTCTGACTTTTCAGAGACGCTTGACGGGGTCGGTTGGGGGCGCGCTGCACACATTGTGGCCCTCGGCTTTAACCACAGAGGATTTTGTCGAATTATTTCGAAATCTGCAGGCGCGGAGCCCCTGCGAAAAGGGTGAAGACATTTGCGGTGGGGGGTCTTTCCCTTCAACGTTAGGGTCGGGGTTTCGTAGGCGTAGCCCGTAGGGGGGCGTAGCGTAGGTTAAGGGATAGGGATTAGGGTGTCCTACGTCCTAGAGCGCGCGGGTCGTCGGCGTTCGTTCGGGTTAGGTGAAGTGAAGCGTCATATCTAGGAGGTATTTTCTTCTCAATCACAAGGTCTCTGTGAACAGGGCCTCCAGGGCTCGCACCTCAACGTACCTCTCACATAGACCAGCGCGCAGCGCCAATGAGCTTGGACGCATGAGCCCCGCTACACAGCAGTGCTTGCCATATTTACGTACTGGTACACGCCGGTCGCTCGTGAAACCGCCGAAGCGGCCCGGGCACATGAAACCGTTTTAGCGACTCGTGCACCCGGGTGCAGGCGGCCGACCCGCTCGCCAGCCACGTGTCTCGCGGCCACGTGTCCAGGAACATGAAATTATGAAGCTGCGGAGGCGACACTTCTCGAGAAGTAGGTGGTAGCTACTTTCGGACACAAGCGACTATCGACCAGTAGAGGAGAAACCAAGTTCAGGATGCGGCTGCTTGGACACCCATGCGAGACCGAGAGCGAAGTCAGCCCGTGCGCTGCCTGACATTGCGCGTGGGTGTGACGCTGCCCGCTTCCTGCGAGCTGTCCGCAACCACGGTGGCCTGCGAGCCGACACCATTGACTGCTTGAACAATCTGTTCCAGCTGGCCTGTCAAGTCAGCCATGTTGGGCTGGCACACATCCAAGAGCACGCCGTGTTCACGCACGTGCTGGACCAGCTGTCGCCATCCCATCTCGCCGTGTTCCCCGGCTGCGAGGGTGTCCAGCGCACCGACGATGACAACGAGGCGCTTCGCGCGCGACAGGCCCACATTGAGCAGCCGTCGGTCACCCGCGCGCTTGGTCGCTAGCGGCGAGAGCACCACGACGTCGCGCTCGCTGCCCTGGTAGGCATCCACGGTGTCCACGGTGTCCAGCAGCATCTTGATCTCGGGCGGGTGCTTGACGCTGCCACTCCTGCCCGGGGAGGCGATCTGGTCGCGCGGGACGTTGCCGATGAGCGCCTGCAGCTCGGCGCGTTGCTCGAGGTGGTTGGTGATGATCGCGCACTGCTCGGCCATGCACAGTCCTCCCACACCCAGCGCGTCGCCATGCCTCTTTAGCCAGCGCCACACGGCGTGCGCAGCCTTCGCCTCCGCTCGATTGACGAAGCTGCGTGCGCTGCCGACGAACTGGTCCTCCTCGGCGAAGGGCGGCAGCAGGTTGATGCCAATGAGCGACCGCCCACGCAGCGCCCCATTCACATCCGGCCCGCGCACAGTCGGTCCACAGCGCAGCTCGCCGCGATACGACAACTCCGAGACGATGGCGCTGATCTGCGGCGCCATGCGATGCTGCTCCTTCAGCATGATGTGCGTCGGGCTGGCCGCTCGCGCGACAAGAATGCGCTCCATGCAGCTGCGTCCAAAGCCTGTGGCCTGCATCGCCTCATGCACGATCGGCGGCAGCTGCTCCTGGTCGCCGACGAGCACAATCAGCCGGAGAGTCGTCCGGTTGGCCAGCACGACCTTGGCGATGTCCGACTCGCCCGCGCGCGACGCCTCATCGTAGATGACCGTGTCGAAATTCCGCGGCGGCAGCTCTGGTGCTACGCCGTCCACCTTCTTGCCCTTCAGACGGCCCGCCTGGTAGCCTACGGTGAAGACCACGCGGAACCCAGTCACGTCCGCCTCCACGTCGCCCCTATAGTAAGACTTGAGCAGCTCGTTCACCTTCTCATCGTGACCGATGCGGCACGCCCAAGAGTGAGCGTCGGGGTTCGTCTTGTTGAGCTTATCCAGCACCGAATCGAGCCCTTGGTTCGAGTTGCACACGACAAGAATGCGGCCGAGCAGTGGTCCCATGGCCGGCGAGAGCAGCCCACGAGCGATAACGTGGGATTTGCCGGTGCCTGGCGGCCCTTGTATGGCCACTATGCCGCCCGCCGCGTGCGCTTCAACCATTCTCACTGCAGCCAACTGCTCCGCGTTGAAAGTATCAGCCGCCACGTGAGTAGTCGTGGGACCGCCGCCCTGTGGAACGCGTGGCCGCAGCAGATAGGGCAGGACAGGTGGCCGGTCTTGCATGTCGGCAAATGCGTGGAGTGCTTCGAGGTCGTCCACTTGAAACTGCACCCTGTGCGTGGGCACGACGTGCAAGCCACTTGGAGTGCAGGCGGCGGCCTGCACGTCAGAAACGCGATCGGGCGGGATGCCCTTGAGCAGGACGCGTTCCTTGGTTGCGCTCGTGCAAAATGCCGCACAGATGAGCGCACCGTGCTCACCAGATTTTCGCACGGCAACAAACATCCCATGGAATGCACTGCTCGTAGACGGAAACTTCTCGACGCGTCCGCGGACCACGGTCGCACCATTCTCGTGGCCAATGCTGCCGTCCGTCACCTTCACGTACTTCTCGTAAGCCTTGCCTTGCATGCCAGCGGCAGCGTTGAGGCGATTGTCCTCAACAAGCGCATCCCCCAAGAGCAGCCCATACTCTTTGACGCTCGCAAACTCGTTTGCAGGTGCTGCTAGGGCGCACTGCTGCTGCAAGCGGCCGTCGTTGAGCGCGTCGAGCACGTGCTGCGTAAGCATGATTTGATCGGAAGACGCCAAACCCCCGCGCCGACCCGCCGTAAAGTAGTTTTACCCCTGTTCTGGAAGGGAGAGGGGTTGTGTTCTCTAGGCCCCTACGGGCCCTACGCGCGGCGTGAGAGCTTGGAAGCGAGCTTTGTAAAGTATGAACGTGCGGCCCTGCAGCGGCCGACAAAGTGGCCGACACTTCTCGAGGGACGAGGCTACTAACTATCGGAAACAACCGGCAGGCGGCAGTTCAGGGTTCAACTCTCCCGGCCCTCGCAGATGTCCACTACCGCAGTACCGCTCGCAATGAAGAAGAGTCACCCCCCCCCCCCCCCCCGACCCCCCCCCCCCCCCCCCAAAGCATACGCGTTACAGACACCCCAGCCATGCGAAGCTCTTTCGATGGATCGCCGGCCGGGGCTTTGGCCTGTACCAGGTTTTCCGGCAAACAAAAAGGAAAACAGAGGGTCCCCAGCACTTTGCGTTTCCGGAAATTTCCAGGGAAAACAGAGGGTGTTTGGTGCTCCATTCTGGAAACTCGCGAGTTTCCCTGACGCCTGAGTCTGAGAGCTGGTCTGGGGCAAAATCTGAGGCAAAATTGAGGAATCGACAAAATACCCAGGCGGTCGCAGGGTAATTTCCAGGCCAAACCTGCCTCAGACTCGGCTCAGAGCCCAAAATTTGACGATTTCCACGGAGTTTCCCCGGGAAAATAGAGAGGAAAAGAGAGGGTGCTGTAGAGAAAAAGGAAAGGAAAACAGACGGGGTGCGAGAGGAAAACCTGGTACAGCCTAACCGGGCGGGGCTCCTCTGCTCCAAGAGACCTCGACCCTTGCGTGCGTGTGCCTCGACTCGCAGACAACACAGAAGATCCGAAAACCTCACACAAACACTGAAAAGATTTTCGCAACAAGCTCCCCCTCGCACGACACGGGGCACCGGACTGGAGCGCACTGGCGACGCACTGAAAGAATTCCGCCTTCACCTGTGGCTGTGCACCACTCCCGACCGCCACCGCCAACATGTCGTCTGCGCGGCCCTTCCCGACGCGCCAGAACCTGCAGGCGCGGCCTGCGCCCATGTCCTTTTTGCTGCCCTCCGCCCCGTCGACGCGGCTGAGCGTCCGCCGCCTCGCCGCGCCCGCAGATCATGAAGCTCAAGTTGGTCGGCGCCAAGAAGGGGCACTCGCTGCTCAAGAAGAAGGTCCGCCGCCGCCGCCCGTCCCGCCACCGCGCCGCGCCGGCCCGCCACCTGCCGCCGCACCACCGGCCCAACCATCGACCTCTCGCGCACAGGCGGACGCGCTGACGATGCGGCTGCGCGCGCTGCTGACCACAATCCTTAAGGCAAAGGAGGCGATGGGCAAGGCCTTCAAGGACGGCAACTTTGCGATGGCGGAGGTGAAGTACGCGGCGGGCGACATCAAGTCGGCCATCATAGAGAGCGTCGGCACGGCGCAAAAGCGCGTCGAGACGAGAGTGGACAACATCGCAGGAGTAAAGGTGCCGGCGACACTTCCGAGACGCCTCGCCCACCGCCTCCGCTCGCACCCGCCGTCGGCACGCCCCGGACCCGTCCGCCGACACGGTCACGTCGCGTCCGCAGGTGCCCGTCTTCAAGGCGGTCGACATGGCAGACGCGCCTGTGGACTACACGGGCCTCGCGCGGGGAGGGCAGCAGGTGACCAAGGCGCGCCAGACCTTCTCGGCGTGCGTGGACACGCTCATCCAGCTGGCGACGCTGCAGACCTCCTTCCTCATCCTCGACGAGGCCATCAAGGCGAGGGCGGCCGCACGCGCACGCGCACACGGCCCACCCACGCACACCAGCCGGGGCCCGCACCCCCCGGTGCCGCGGCGGCTGCCGGCGGAGCCGCGGAGCATGCCCCCCCGCCCCCTTCCTCGAGCGCGTGGCCTCCCTCTATTCACCCCGCGCCACCCCGCCCCTCCAGGTGACCTCGCGCCGCGTCAACGCGCTCGACACCGTCGTCATCCCGAGGATCGCCGGCTTCGTCGACTACATCGTCTCCGAGCTCGACGAGGCGCCTACCTCCCCCCCCCCCCTCCCCCTCTTCCCCCGGGTCCCCCCGCCCCCCTTTGCCCCCGCCCCACACGCACACGCGGCTGCCCCCCCCCCCCCTCCTTCCTCAGCTCGAGCGCGAGGAGTTCTTCCGGCTCAAGCGCTCGCAGGACAAGAAGAAGAAGGACCTGCAGCTCGCAGAGGCGGAGCGACTCAAGGAGATCGCGGCCGATGACGCGGGCTCCCTCATCGGCGGCGGCGACGACCCGGACGTCATCTACTAGAAGCCCACGCCGCGGGCACCCTATCGCGGGGGGCTCCGTGAGGGCGCTTCGGCGAGGGCGGGCGGAGGGCGGCCGATGTTGGCCGCCCTGCCGCACCGCATCGCGGGTGCATACAACCCCGCCGTCGACGCGCGGCTCTCGACCCCCTCCCCGCTCGTGATCTTTCTGTCGCATTCGTCGCCCGCTGCGGGTTGGGCAGCGGCCGGTCCCAGCGCGCGGTCGATTCGCTCCGGTTGTGGGCCTTGAGACGGCGTCGTGCAGCCACGCCGCACGCGCGGTCAGGGCACGCCACCGGCACCGCGCAGGCGCACCGGCCCCGTCCCGCTTGCCCGCCCTCTACGTACAGTTTTGCTTTTGATGTCGAATGTACGAATAACACATAACCTCAGAATAAGACCCACACAAAATAAAAATCTAGCTGCCAGAGCCACTGCTACAAGCCAGGGACCGAAGGGGGGGCCCCGCCGCAGCGAGCGAGCAGGAGCACCCCCGCGGTCCACCACAACGACCGCCTACGACGTTGCGTGCACAGAGCGCACGCGCGATCCTAGAGGAGAGCGACAGGGCCCGATTGCACGAACGCATGCTCTCGGGCGACAGGCGCGCGCCACAGCGGGAGGCACGAGAGCTCGGACCGCCGTCACCAGTAGTCGAGGTACTCTTGCTCGAGGATGAGCTCCTGCGGCAGGCGGCAGGCGCAGGCTGAGCGCACGCGAAGGGGAGGTAGTGGAGGGGGGGGGCGGGGGGGGGTCGCACCGGGGAGGCGGAGCGCTCCCGCTCGCGCATCTCGCGCTGCCGCGCCGCGCGCGCCACCCACGAGGCCACCACCCTCTTCTCCGTTCGCGATTCGTCCCAGTGCCTGCGGCGGCGGGCGGGCGGCTCGGGCGGCGGCGGGAGGGGCGAGGTTGGCCGAGGGGGGCGAGGGTGTGTGTGTGGAGTGTCTGGCCGCGGGGTCTGGGGGCAGCGCGGCACGTCAGGTCGCGCTCGACGTGCCACTCGACGTGGAACCCCTGGCAGAGGGGGGGGGTGGGGGGTGCTTGCTCGG